AAAGGTATATCTCCCAGTGCTAAGAAGGTCCAGAGCAAGAATGTGGGTTATAGCCTGGCTGGTGTGGCTCAGTGGTTGAGTGTCAACCTATGGACCAGGTGGTCACTGTTCGATTCCTGGTCAGGGCACATGCCCGGGTTGTGGGCTTGACTCCCTAATGGGTGGTGTGCAAGAGGCAGCTGATCAATGATTCTCATCATTGATGTTTCTCTCTCTCTCTCTCCTGCTCCCTTCCTTTCTGAAGTCAATAAATATGTACTTTTTAAAAAGAATGTGGGTTATAGAGAGCTGGGCATCATCATAGTATTTGCATCACTGCAGACACTAAAACGATGATTCAGAAGAAACCTTAGAGTCTGAATGTTATAAAGGTTTAGACTCAAACTTCAAGATACAAAATACATTTGCATAAACATATGCTACTGTAACTCTTTAAAATTGTCTACATTTAATGCATTTTATCAATAAAAGCTGTTTATCTTATAAACGTTGTTGTCAGAATTGAAACTGTGCCAGTTTTGTACTCAATTTTCACTGACATAGTGACAACTGCCAATAGTTCTTTGCTTTCAAAAGCTAACAGTCACATAGGCAACAATGAGGAAATATAGAATCTAAATCTCCAATTTATTTTTAATTCTTGAATGAAGGACTTAAGTTTCCACAACTAAAACCTAGCTGAAACTTTCTGGGAGGCAGTGTGTCTGAGAAAACGGCACTGTGCAAATAGCTTAATGCAATCATCTGATATCCTTCTGTTTCAATTCACAATTTCTCTTTCCCTTCTAACCTCCTTTCTACTTGCAGTGGTGAAAAACCAGGTAAGGTACAAGTTCTAATAGTGTTCTTGACTCAATCGGCACTCAAATATTTACTGGCCATATGAATAAACAGGTTGAGTTGAATCAGTTCATCCACATAGAAAATAATGTATATTGGTGCCTAAGAAAGTTAATAGTAGCTCTGCCCTACACTGCTTCTAACCTGAAAGATTTTCGAAGCCCTATTTTCGTTCTATTAGGTGACCTTTAAGTGCCTTACTATGGGGCTGCTTGAAATTCTGTGGGGAAAAAATGCATCTTAGAGACCCTGCTCAGCTAACAAAAAAGCTTGTCAGTTAGAGAATTTTATTCTTAAAATGACAAAACACCTGTCTTTTTTGAAAGCTCACCTATAAACCTATTCCTTTTTAGATTATATTTCATTATGCTGTTTTGATTAGAACTCCGTTTTACGACTCCCAGAGTGCTAGCATGAAGAGTTAGGTTGAAATACAATTCTGATTCATGGACTCATGAAAGTCTGGACACTTCACTTCCAACGTGACCTTTATCTCTCTTTTAAGCAGCTAAAGGTCATACCTGGCTCAGGCAGCTATATTTCCTTTTTCTTCCACCCTCTAGATGCCCATGTGTATGAATGTGCAGCAGATGTATATAAATAAATATGAATTAAACACAAAAAGAGTCCTCTCCAACTTGACCCTCTCTTTCTTCTGCAGCAGTGAAGGGGCCCGATGGTCAGCATACACTTGCCACTTGCCAGTCACAGGTTTCTCTAGTTTTAGACCTCCTCTCCGATAAGTGGCAGGAGATTAATCGAATCTAACATGGAGTGTTTTCTACCTTTGTTCTCTCCTGCTGATAAAATTTGTACAAACCTGAAAAAAAAATGGTTTGGGCCATGTGGACATGGTACATAGAAATAAAAATAATAATACTCTATAAATATAAAACCCTAATATGCAAATAGACTGAACAGCGGAACTACCAAACAACTGGTCGCTATGACGTGCACCGACCACCAGGGGGCGCGTGCGGAACATGGTGAGGGTCAGCAGTGACAGGATGGTGGAGCAGGGGAGCAGGGGTGCCAAAAAAAGCTGGGGTGCCTGTCGCTGTCATCGGGGCAAGCCTCTGATGGTCACTGAAAATGCTTTGCTCCTGCCTACCGCCGTCCTGCCCAATGCTCACACCCGCTGCTGGCACCAGAGCTGTCACTTGCACCTTCTGCCAGTGCCTGGTGCCAGCCCCGATTGCTCAGTGCCATCAGCAGGTGTGAGCGGCAGCTGCTGGCCCCAATGGCCCCTGAGGGCTTCTCCACCTCCCCCTGTTCCTGAGGGGCAATCGGGGCAGTAGCCACCGCTCGCGCCCACTGACAGCGCCAGCCCCGCTCACACCCACTGCTGGCGTCAGCCCCAGTCACTCCGCATCATTAGTGGGTGTGAGTGGGGCCAGCACCATCAGCGCGTGGGAGCGGTGGCGGGAGCAGGGCTGCTGGCAGACAGGGGACCGCAGGGCCGCAGCAGGAAGGGCCGGGAGGGGGCACGGAGGATGGGCCAAGACTCGCCCCTGCGCCCACCACAGCCTCACGGCCCACAGTTCCTTTCAAGGTGCACAAATTTGTGCCCTCGGCCCTTAGTAACAAATAAGGACTCTATCTGACACAAGTTCAGAGGGTAGTTTGAACACAATTCTTGAATTAAAGACATCCTAAGACCCATATAGGAGTCTTAGGTATTTACTTCATAGTAAAACCATGCAAAATCAGTAAGTATTAAGAAACAATGACTGTGTAGGTATTATATTAAATTAAGAGGTGGATAGGGCACAAGAGTAGAATCAGATGTCCTGTTCTCGAATTTCAGCACTGATTCAATTCAAGTTAACTAGCTGTGTGACTTTTGGCAAGACATTTGACTTCTTCATCCATAAAATGAAGAAAATGTAGTTATACCCAATAATAATGATAACAACAACAATAAAACTTACCTCACAGGATTATTTGGGAATTCAAAAAAGATAATAATGTTTCAGCAATAATTTGTAAATAAAAAGTACTATATAAATGTTACTATTATCATGGTAACACTAAATAATAAACAAGATGTCATTATATTTGCTAGCCCCATAAATACACCATTTCTTCCAAGAATTCTACATACCAGGAAACTTTCCGTGATACAATCCCCAGTGGTCATATTGCAGGATTATATTGTAGGAGCTCTATATGGTCCAAGAAGAGTTCTCCTTAACAGCAAATTCATCATTCTAGGAGGTAGAGGCACAAAGTTCAACATAGTAGTGGGTAACCCCATAATAGGTCACTTGGAAATGACCTACCTGTAGTACCATTATTTTGTGGGGTTCTTTTAGGATTGTCCCTAGTTAATTGTGAATTTTAAAATATCAGATGAAGATAATATGCATGACACACACTTAAGGTAAATGTAAACCACCAATAGTGCTATATTGGCTATGAAGTCTGTTTGAAGCACCTGCAAGGACCCAAAGGTAGATGAACACACACAAGCCTGAGCTCCATAGATAAAAGACTGAGTTTGAGGGTTACCTAGTAAAATTGTGGACTCCTAGGCCCTGAAACTGTGCAAGCAGAAACGAAATAATCCTCTGTAAGAAGTATTATAGGAGAGAGTCCCATTTTGGTAGAAGATTGGCTGTAAGGCTTTCAAAGTCAATCTGCACAACTCAAAGCTGCTCTGACCAGTTTGCGTAGCCACACACTGCCACTAATAGTGTGAATAACACATATAAATTTAACTGAAAATACTTCAAGATGCATTCTCTCAGACCATATCAATTGACATTTCCATAATCTGAATACAGTTTCTGTTTATTCCCACAAAAACAATAATTTTAAAATTTTATACCAATATGTGAGGATGCAGTTATTCTTATCCATTGGTAATTGAAATATAGTAGAGGGAAATTAGGAGTCTTAAAAAATAATTATTTCTTTTGGCTCAATAACTCCAGAAATTCTTCTTCTAGGAGTTTATTCTAGAAATGATCAAAGATATTCACAAAGGTTATATGTATAGATATTTAATCAAGAGTTATTTATACTAGTTAAAATTTTTAAATAACCTTCATGTCCAATTTATGCATATTCATATAATACAATATTCTGCAGTCCATTAAAAATAATATTTTATAAAACACTTTATTACCCAAGGGCAATGCTTATGATACATTAAGTTTTAAAAACAAGTTTAAAATCAATAAGACAATGTTATCTCGACTTTGTTTTATATAAATACTATAATAATATTTCTATTTTCTTTGTATATTCACACACACAAATACACACACACACAAAGACCTGAAGAAATAATCAAAATATTAATGGTGTTAGCTATCTCTGGGTAACAGAATTATGCATGATTTTAATTCTCTTCCTCATTTTTCTACAATAAAAAATAATACCCAGTAGTCAGAAAAATCATAGATGGTATTTTTCTTTTAAAGCTCTCCAAATAAGCCTTTCTGAATCCCATAACCATCATTCAATTCAATAAATATGTTTTGAGGATTAAGTTGTGTTAGTATTTGCTAATGTTCTTTTACCATCTTAATCATTACCATCAAAAAAAGATATGACTGATGGAAATTTTTTAATGTTTTATATACTTTGATGCAGTACTTAATTAAATATAATTATTGCTAATGACTGAGTTGCTCTGTTTAATTTATATACACTGTTGAAATATTTATACCATGTAACATAACATACTTAATATCTTATTTCCCACTGTCTATGTCTTGCACATAAAAAAATTATCCATGTTTCTTAAGGAAAGAATGAAGGGCGGGAAGGAAGAAGGAAGAAATAGATGTATTTCTTACTAAAATGGTTACAATTGGCCCGGCTGGCATGGCTCAGTGTTTGAGCATCAATTCCCGGGCAGGGCACATGCCCAGGTTGCGGGCTCGATCCCCAGTGTGGGGCGTGCAGGAGGCAGCCAATTGATGATGCTCTCTCAGCATTGATGTTTCTATCTCTCTCTCTCCTTCTCCCTTCCTCTCTGAAATCAATAAAACAAATTTAAATAAATTAAAATAGGTACAATTGCCTCTTACACTATTTGTATGAAAAACTTAGATATGACTTCTATCATTTCAGCTAATGTCATGTTTTTCCAGAATAACCCATAGGACAAGTTGGAAACAGAAACTGCAGTAGTTTTCCAAAGCCTCAGAATGACAGAGGAAGTGGACAGATACTATCTCAAACGCACCCTGGCTCCCCCCAGGCCTCCACGATGGACCCTCTGTTAGATTGGTAACAGGTGCTATTTGTGACAGCCTGACTTTCCTCAGAGTCACCTTGAAAAAAAGCAAAGCACATCAGCAAGGACGTGGCTCAGTTTGGTTCTGAGGCCTGGTGTTGGTGTGGCTGTTCCACTCTCCATCCTGGCGTCCTGCACCCCCCTGCAGAGTCCCTTGTCCCAGTGCCAGGGGCCTACAGATGCTGATTACTGGTTACAGAAGGCTGGCCGTGTGGTCTGCAGAAACAAAATACCAAATTACACAGATTTAGCAAATATGTGTGGAGAACAAAAACAACAAAAAAAGTAGGGCAAGAGTTTGGTTGAGGCAGCCTTTTGTTAAATAAACTCAGTCAAATTTGTTTCAGACCATCATGCACAGAGCTGGAAAGTGTGGGGAAGTGAATCTGCTCTTTAAAAAAGCTTCAGTAAACCTTGCTGGAAAAAAATTTTCACAAATTGCAGGGGTCTTTTAAATAATGATAGACTATCCATAACAGTCCCATGGCATTTCTGAAGAAATGCCCTATAGTGAACCTCACTGTTGGGGCCCAAGCTAAAAGCCATCAGCCAGCCTCGGTGGAGATAAAGACTGGGTTGAGTAATGGTTTGGGGGGAATATACACCATCAGTCAACATCGGCTGTTCATCTGAGCGATCGGAGTACTTTCTTAAAGGGCCACAAGGCTTTAAGGAGAAGGGCTGGCTTCTATCAGAGCTGATAGTAGTTAATGGGATGAAGGTAGCGCAGAAATAGGAAAGTCGGCCTCCTGGATGCACCACTAAAACTGAAAATCCTCCCTGCTATCTGCAATTGGTTTTGAAATCCTCACGACTAGACATCAGAAACGTTAGACGTTAGTATACCGTTCGGGGATAAAGCACACGTCTGATGTTCAGAGAGGATGTTTTCCAGGTGAAGACAAAGCCCCAAACAAACAAAAAAGCTCCCTCGGCCGTATTAGAAATCTCACCCATATAAATTCTTCATTGCTTAAAATGACAGGCTGAAAGCAAAGCCACATGTAGCTTGCTTCCTTGCCCGGGTGGCAGCTGTTAAATCCCTGCCTTCCTAGGAAGTGACCTCATAAGAAAATCTTATAACGCTGTCATGTGGGGAGATCCTCATAACATTCGGGTTAATGCGCTTACACCGGAGGAGAAGTCTCCGAGAACGTTTAATAATCAGAGAGTCCCAGGGGGATTTGATGTCAGCGGGTCACGGATGGGTTTCTCTCCGTGCACATCTGGGAAGTTCTGTGGCATATTCCGTAGCAGGCCACGTGGCTTAATAGTTAAAATAGAGGGCTGACTGTTACGAGAGTTTGGGGATCATATAGCAACTGAGCTATTGACCGATGAGCTGACCCTAGACAAGTCATGACCTTGTGGTACTTCAGTCAGTTTAGCTGTAAAATTGGGCACGAAGGCCAGACTTTACCAAAACCAGATGTTCTTCAGCTCTGTTCTTCAGCGAACATCCTTTTTTAATGTGGCTGTCAAGTCTCGATATTTCTCATACATAGAAAGGCAATGGCATATAGTCTACTCTCCTAGCAAGACTCGGGCAAGACAAGGTCCAAGGATGGTAGCCTGACCCGGCCCACACGCCAGTGCTCTCCTGCCTGGCCAACCTCAGGTCTCTCAGAGAAGTTTCACAGTGTACAGGTGTGAGTGAGTTATCTATAATAATAAAAGCATAATATGCTAATTAGACTGGACGTCCTTCCGGATGACCTGCCCGACGAAACCGGGGCTGCGAGGGAAGCCCAGGTCCCAGGTACCAGAGGGAAGCCAGTGCCAGCAGCCGGGGGAGGGAAGGCCTACTCTTGCACGAATTTCATGCATCGGGCCTCTAGTAACTAGAATAATTTTTGTGCCCCTAACAGAGGCCCTGGAAGAGGCATAAGTCACAGCATAGAGATTCACACTACCCTTCTTTTGCTTTTCTAAGTTCTGGGTCAATCACAGAGATAGGTGACAGATACCAGCTTCCTTCTTGTAAACACAACAGAACCTCTCTGTGCTGAGGAACTAAAAACAGCTTCATGGGGGTACTTTCTGAAAGATAAGTCAGGATTCCAATCAGCTAACCAACAATTAAAGAAAAGGTCTTAAACCTACAACAAAGGATTGGCGAACAAATATATGTGTGTGCTTCCTCAGTCCAAACATGTGTCTATAACATATATTTATATGCATAAATATATATGTAGATGATAGACAGATAGATACAACCACATACCGTTTACACTTCAAATGACTTTGACTGGCTGATTAGTCAACAAATGATCAACCCTCATCGCGTCAGGTAAGATTACTTCTGAAATAGTTTACTATTCCCCTGATTAGTATTCTCCAAACTGGTGGAGGAGCAGGTCTCTGTTTTCTGAATTTCCTTCCCATTCAAGTGTCACAAGCTATTAGTGGCCCATGCAGATCTCATCTGGGCTCTGAACTGAGGGTTTCGAGCAGAGAACACCCCTCATTAGACCTCACGGGAGCCAGACGGCAGGAAGACTTTCCATGGGGCCCTAAGCCAGGCAAAAGGAGCCCTACCGTGGGTCAAAGCTTCCTTTAATACCACAGCTCCCCTCTGCTCAGCTCTCTCACTGCCCCGGCAAGTGGCAGCCAAGGCCACGCATGCCAGATTCCTGCTGTGGGGAAGGAAGCCACAGCCATTCCAACCAGGCCAAACACCCGTAACCTCCCCCTTACTGACTTAAAGCAATCAAGGGCAGACTGTAACATTCAAAACTGGATGGTTGGCTCTCCCATTCCTGGCAACTGGAACCACACATTTCATTAAAAAATGCAGTTGACTCCAAAATCCAAGAGTTATCCATCTGTACCCTCAACCAGAAATATAAATAAACAGAAGGATCGTGCATTTTGCTAATCTCTTTGAGAACTGTTGACTCTTGGCTGCTGGTGGGTAAATGCTCATTTTTTGGTCAATAGGGTCAAAATATGACAAACCATACTTTTGGACTACAAAACTCAGCCTGAACCAGTGTTAGAAAGAAAGGGTTGCCCCCCAATGCTGTACTTCTGTTAGAACTTCTAAGGCAATTAGGTAGACATGAAAAGTTAATAGTCACTCCTCATAGATGACCCAAGAGGAAGAAATAGTCTGGACAGTAACAAAAAAAAAGAGGTACTTATTGGGTGAAACTATACTGCCCTTGGGCTTTTGCCCCTGCTTTGTGAAGAAGCCCTATCTATGTATATAATCTATATATATAAAAGGCTAATATGCAAAGTGTCCCCTCAGGAGTTCGATGGGGAGAACAGGAGTTCAATTGCTCATTATGACGTGCACTGACCACCAGTGCATGGAACATGGTGGGTGACCAGCGGCAGTGGTGGGGTGCTGAGGGAGCAAGAAAAGGAGGGGGGGGGCGGAGGGGGAACCTTGTGGTGGCAGCTCACTGGTGGTGAGGAAAGGAGGAAGTGGGGAAGTGGGGAGGCGGGAAGGCAGGGAACCTGATCAGCCCTGATCTCCAGCTAGGCCTAGGGACCCTACCCATGCATGAATTTTGTGCACCGGGCCTCTAGTAGAAATATAGGACAAGTAACTGCAGAAGGGCGCCCATCAGACACCAATATGCCAGCTCCCTGGTGACATGAACGTACAGCACAAAATTTGGAACTAAAAGAAAATACTCTTCTGTGAAAAACATTGACATTTACAGATTGTTACATTTTTAGCAGCTCTTTGAGCATGTGATCGTGTGGCAGAGGCAGCTGCCTCAAGCAGTTTGCTGCTCCGTGGGGAAACCTCGACCCAGGGAGCCAGAAACGTTGTCACAGATGCCACGATGACATTATCACTGAAGGCAGCAGAACACGGTGACCGGGATCAGCATGCCTGAGAATCTCAAAATTCTGCTTGAAAACGCCCCATTTGGCTTTCTTTAGACACAGGCATTGGCTCTTTCCGGCTTGTCTCAGCTGCCACTTGAGCCCAAGTATTTCTTGTGATGTGAGATCGCTCAGCCAGAACCTGGAGCAGTCGCCCGGCGCCGTTGCATGAAGCAATAAGATGGACTCTGTCGCGTTCTTTACAGGGAAGAACTGGGTTCGATCCATTTTGCTATGCTCCATATAAAACCGGATTCATCTTTTAAACTGTCTGGGGGTTTGACCTATTACAAATATGAGCAGGTAAAACTCTTTGAGCCCACAGTGTAAAACAAACAAACAAACACCTCTAGGACTTGGGATCTAACTGTAGGAAACACAGGGCACTGCATACACTGTGGGGAGATTTTGAAACATCCGGTTATCAAGTCTCAGCAAAAGAGTCCCCCTGTACACTGTCCACCAGGCTGAGATTCAAAGATGAGTCGCCTCGGTGACATTCTAACGTGGACTGTGGTTATGGAAGGTTAGCCAATACACAATTCACCTTACACCCGGGAGCCAATTCTACATGGAACTCATTTGTACACTTGAAGACGCCAGGTGTCGCTGGATAATAATGCGTCCTTGTGCACGGCCTCTGGTAGCCGTCTGTAGCTGAGACTGTTGGTAAAAGTGTCAGCCTCGGTTTTCTTCTAAGCAAAGGCTTCGGACAGTCAGTCTCAAACTTTAAAATGAGCAAGAATCACCCGGAGAGTTTGATATGCATGCAAGTTACAGTAGGTCTGGAACAGTGGTTCTCAACCTTGGCTGCACATTAGAATCACCTGGGAATCTTTTTAAAATCCTGATTTCTGGGCCTCATCCTCAGATGAGGGTAGCTGGGCCTCGGAGGATGAGGCCCAGGAATCAGGATTTATAAAAGATTCCCAGGTGATTCTAATGTGCAGCCAAGGTTGAGAACCACTGGTCTACCCTGGTCGGCAAACATCGGCTCGCAAGCCACATGCGGCTCTTTGGCCCCTTGAGTGTGGCTCTTCCACTGTACGGGCACACACGTACAGTGTGATTGGAACTTCGTGGCCCATGCGCAGAAGTTGGTATTTTGTGGAAGAGCCACACTGAAGGAGCCAAAGAGCCGCGTGTGGCTCGCGAGCCGCGGTTTGCTGAGCCGCAGTTTGCCAACCCTGGGTCTCTAGAATGAAGCCCAGGCCTCTTGGGTTCAACAAATCCTCCACGTGATTCTCACACCCGGGGCCGTAAAACACACCTGTTGAAACAGAGACGTGATGCTCCAGGACCCCAGGAACACCTGGGTTCTAAGCACCTGAGATGCGAGTCGGTCTCTAATAAAAGGATCGACTAGCTCTCAAATTCAGGAAATATCATCTTGCGCCAGAGTACCCTGAGTGAAGGTGACAAATTTCCTAAAGAACCCTATTATCAATGGCATCGGTAGGACTCTGACATTTACTCAGCAGCCCAGACACACTCGCAGAGGCAGAGTGTGAAGGTCGGATGGCACTCCCATTTAAATTTAGGGAAATCTAAGACATGGGAAGGCATTTATTTTAGTCAAATTTTGTCAAAACAATTTCTGGTACACCCTTCACCCTGCGTGTTTATAAAATCCTTTCTATAGGAAAGAAGCTTATTAAGGACCCACCCGCGAGAGCACTGCCCGTTTCCAGTGAGTGTCTTCTTCGCTCTATCAAGCTGCCCTGGTTGGAGTTCCACCACTGGCTGCCCAGTGTTTCATCCAGTAACAAATGATGCGTACACCACAGGACAGCCAGACTGATGTGAGCTCAGAAGGCACCTGTATGAAGCTTTTCAAAAGAACAGTACTAAGTTTTACTAGACGTGACAAACCTTATAAAAGTTAAATAGTGTCACACTTTCTAAGCATTTCATTTAATACAACTGAACACATGGAGGGCACTGAGGATGAGATTTGATTTTTTCCAGATGCCGATTTAACAACACACAAAAGCTGCAGTCCCAGATTGCTAATTTTCCGCCATGTGGTAGCCATTGAGTTGCATTTTTTAAAACACTTACCAAATTACAGGTTCGAGTTTCAGAGGCAGCAGCTAGGAGTAGGTTTGGGGTGCTGGGCGTCCCTCTGGCTTAATGCTGGGCCTCCTGAAGCAGCAGTAAATCCTGGCCGTATTTTCCTGACAGCACTCACTGGTTTTCCTAGGAATGAAATGCGAGTTTGCAAAACCAAATGCTAAAGTCCTTCTGAAAACAGATTTGATTACTGGGGCTCCGTGCGGTTCTGGCCATTTTGAGCCACCTATGGCCATGCAGGCCAGCATCGAAGAACATCGATGCATGACAAGGCGTTCCAAGAAATCCTCACCAGCAACTTGTAAGCGAGCTTAACTGCTCACTCTTAATGGCTCATTCTTGAAAAGTGACCTCAGACATGTCATTGAACCTCTTCTTTGTTTGTGTGCATTTATATCTTTAACCAGGACAATAATAATTGGCTTCATTTTTATTTCACAAAAGAGAACAGAGTTAGATGGTCAAGTTAGAGGAAAAACACCTCCCGGCACCAACTAAAGTTTATCTTCTATCACCACAAACAAGGGAATGCGGATCTTCTAGAGCGGGAAAGGCCATGGTTCTCTCTATTCATTCTCATCTTATTCTAAAACAGCTTTGAGTAACTGAATCAATTCATAGGAAAAAACCCTTAGAGAAGGACAAAACCCCATGCCAGGGTGTGCGGGTCCAGTAAGTGAAGACACAAGTCAGTCACTCCCAGGGGCGCCATCTACTGTGATAAATGCACCTGAAGGCATTGTGAAAGCTTTAAAGCCCCAGGCAAATGTTAGTAATTATTACTTATCCGGTGACACTAACCAGGGCCTACATCTGGATTCTATGCTCAGAAACAAAGATATCGCACTGTACACCTATGCGATGGATGATTCATGTCTATCTGGCCCAGAAGAAAAACTACCCTTTCAAAATCATTAACTCCTGGGGAAACATATTATATCTCCCAGAACCAATTATAGTTAATTCTCCTGAGTTCAAATGGTTTGGGACCAAATCTATTTCACACATAACTGAATACTCTAGACAACTTACCCAGGGAAACTCAAATATATATATACCTGGGCTCTCTGCGGGGCCTCATAACACAGCATGAACAGCAAGCACAGCAGTCTGATGTTCAGGCTTGCAAAATTAGTGGCAATGACCTTAAGAGCAGGGGGCGGGGGGGTGGGGGGTGTCCAATGAGAGAGCCTGCCTGCCAGGGCTCCGAATTGGTCTCTGTCGTCCCTCTGCCAAAAGTGTACAATGGAATCAAAAGCCATCTACACTTCCACTCAAGTAGGGAAAATGTGGATCCTCATCTTCTATGACTAATTGAGCCTTTCTCAAACCTCCATCATACCCAGTTACCAAGGGAGAGCTGGAAAATAATACTTTCAACTTTGTCTCAATCTTTTATACTTCAAATAGCAACTAGCAACTCTTAGCAACAGGCTCTGTCTCTGGGCGGATAATGTTCAGTCTTTCAGGCGCCCACACTGGTGGCCCGTGGAGATGGCCGCAAACAGTGCAAGGAGGGCGCTTTGGATCCGAGTGGGTCCTTTAGATCTTTGCTGATTTCTGCTGCAGAGCCACCAGCCTGTCATGCTCCCAGGTCCCTGGACATGATTTCCGCTAAGATATGCCTGGTGAGGTTGTGACTTATTCTCTTGTCCTGGTCAGTACCTGATGGGGCTGCTGATCCTTTCCTCACGCCCTCTGTCTCATCCATGGTCCCCATCTGTCTCCTGAAGGACCATATCCTGGAGGGTCACCGCCACTTACCATGGTGAGCCCTGGAAGCAAGACCCTGGCTATCAACAGAGCTAGTGACCACCTACCTTCCCCAGATGGCCAGCGGATCCAGGCACCGACTCCAGCTCCATCTCCCTGCCCACCCTCTGATAGCAGTCCCATGATGGTAAAGGTCGCCCTGCACTTTGGTCTCCCTACCAGACTTCAAAAGAGGAAGCAGGAGAAACACCCCTCTGCCTTTGGCTTTCCTGTCCCCCTAACTAATGACCCTTCTTCGGAGCTCAGCTGGGGGAAGGGGAGAAGGAGAGACGTGTTTCTTGCACGTCACCTCTTGTTTACCCTGCCTCTCTCTTCCTTTCCCTGTGGGTGATTCCCAGGCTATGAGATAAAGGGCTTCTCTGATGTCCTGTTCCGATTCTCTTCACCCCATGATTTACAATAAAACTCTATGTTCAAGCCAGAGCACAGATACCTTCACGGAAGCTCAAGTAATTTAGAAAACTCATTTCTACCTCTCCAAGCCCCGGCTTTTCAGCTTGTGGGAGAATCGGAAATCCTATTTTGGATAGCAGAAGCAGAACATTGCTTCTATAATAATCTTATTGCTTGCTGAAGCAAAGAATTCCTCTGAATGAAAAAGAAAAGCATAGTGATGGATTTCCAACTATTAGCTCCACCACAGGAAGGTAGTCAAAGATTCCAAAGGAAGAGATAGCAATCTACTTCATCCCTACACACACACACAGGGAACCTTGGCAAATTCCTTCCTCTGTCACACAGCCCACCCTGCCCTCACATATGCAGATGCGCACACACACACACACACACACACACACACACCTACTCTCAGCCACTTCGTTCAAATGCTCTTCAGAAATGGGAGATCGTATTATGCATTCCATCCAATGTCAGTGTACCACTGATAACTAGGTTATGACATGTGTCTCTAATAACCAATTTCATGACATCCCTCAGGCATACACTCCATCCTAATTTGATTCTAATTCTGATTTCATATGGTCCTAAACTTTTTACATTCTAATTCTGAATTGTTATATTCCCATTAGTGTCAGACCTTAAGGTTTCCTTCTCTTTCTTTTATCATAATACACCAAATGCTCTGAATCTCAGAACTTTCTGAATGAACAGCATAAACACAAGAAAACAATTTTTTAAAATATATTGTTATTGATCTCAGAGAGGAAGGGAGAGGGAGAGAGAGATAGAAACATCAATGATGAGAGAGAATCATTGCTTGGCTGCCTCCTGCATGCCCCCTACTGGGGATCGAGTCCGAAACCTGCCCATGTGCCCTTGACCGGAATCAAACCTGGGACTCTTCAATCCACAGGCCAATACTCTATCCACTGAGCAAAACCAACTAGGGCAGATGCAAACAATTGTTGACATGAAGTAAAATTACAGGAGTTTATAGCCAAACCCCTTAATATTTCTAAAATATCAATAAAGAACATAGTCAAATCTTACCTCTACTCAGCAGTATAGTGTGTTTTCTTAGACTATAGCAAATTTATTAATTATACTAGAGGTCCGATGCATGAAAATTCATGCAAGAGTAGGCCTTCCTTACCCTGCCAGCACCAACTTCCCTCTGGCACCCGGGACCCACGCTTCCCTTCTCCAGCCACCAGCAGGCACCCAGGACCCTGGCTAGCTTCCTTCGGGCCCCAGCTTTGTCAGGAAGGATGTCTGGATGTCTAGAAGGTCGTTCAGCTGTCCAGTCTAATTACCATATTACCCTTTTATTATTATAGATTACATTTTCTACCCCAAGTGCTAAGAATAAGAGACAGGAATAAAATTAAAGAGAAAGGAATAAAATTTTATCCTTAAGAACAGATTTAGGAGGTTAATTACCCAGGTTATATCCTCAAATATGTACCTCATTCTGATACAGTTACCTGAATTTATGGATAATCTTGGTGTAAGGCAGAAAATTAATCATTTTTCTTTTATAAAAATAGATACACATCATTTTGGCCAACTTAAGTAAAATTTGGAGTGAAAGGCATTCTAAATCCAGTTTAATCCCACAAAAATTGTCCTCCTGGTAGACCTACTGCCCAGATCTTTGTCTTTAGTGCCATTCCCCACTAAAAGAAACCAGGGTTCCTTAAAGAAATGGCTCATCTGCCGAAACCGGTTTGGCTCAGTGGATAGAGCGTCGGCCTGCGAACTGAAGGGTCCCAGGTTCGATTCCGGTCAAGGGCATGTACCTGGGTTGCAGGCATATCCCCAGTAGGAGATGTGCAGGCGGCAGCTGATTGATGTTTCTCTCTCATCGATGTTTCAAACTCTCTATCTCTCTCCCTTCCTCTCTGTAAAAAATCAATAAAATATATTAAAAAAATAAAAAGAAATCAATGGAGAAATATCCTCAGGTGAGTATTAAAAAAAACAAAATACAACAAAAAAAAAAAGAAATGGCTCATCTAAGGGCTGGGGTAGAGTGCATACTAGATGCACCTAGAACACCTTGTTATGACAAAAAGTAAGAAAGTACTTCAAAAAATGATGGGGCCTCACAAGGACGCAGGAGGCAGTTGGGAGATGTTCCTGTGTGGCCAAGTCTGGGAGAATTTAAGCACCAACATAATTAAGGGCAATAAGGAATTATAGGCACAGAGTAATGAGTCCAAACAAATAAGAAATAGATAAACAAATCAGTAGGAAAGAAGGAGGGCTCTTGTTTAGTAGAATGCTGAATGTTGATTGGTTAACGTGGAGGGAGTGGTAAACCTAGAAAATCATCATTTTGCAGCCATCCTAGTAAAATTTAGTTCAGACATGAGTCCCAAATACTAGTAGATACCAAATCGCAGGGAAATTTTTCATGAGCAGTAGAATATTTTGCATGGTCTCTCCAGATAGCTTCTTAGTTGCAAAAGGGAGAAAAACAGTACAGGGATAAACTGGAAAGACCAAAATTAACATCAACAACAAGGGGCAGATGGACGCTATGAGCTTCCAAAGGACACATGTCGCTTCTGGCCTGAAATGCATAACCTAAATGAGGCCAGGAGAAACCATCAGAAGAAAATATCCTAATTCTTTGGAAATACCAACTGAAGATTTTAGGGCCATGATGAATGTAATTTACTCTCAAATGGTATAGGATTTTTTAAAAAAGGATTTAAATTACATGCACATACATACACATACAAAGAAAAAAGGAAAAGAGAGCAATCAAATGCTAAAGCAAATGGAAAAAAATGTTAACAACTGGATAAAGTATATACAGGGGTTCTATGCACTTCTTATTCTCTTAACATTTCTGTAAATTTAAAACTATTTTCCAATAAAAAAATTTTAAGACTCCTCTCATTCCCTTACTTTGGCAGCTTTATTTCAACCTGCACTTTATGAAAACACTCAAACTACACCATGAATAAGTAAGGTAGATTTCACAATGCTGTTAAATAAATTTTAACAAGAAACCAAGAAAAAAAATTAAAGTTAAAGGGGAAATTCAATATTTGAGAAACAAACCACAGATTTACATATAAAACCAGGAGCCCTTGCTTGATCTGAAAAACAAAGCTAAAATATAATGTGAAAAGAAGGTAGAATATAACATAAAAATAAGAAAACTAACACAAAGCATAAATGGGTAAATAGCTCTTGGACAAAGCTTGCATTTCTTTGCCACATGGATTAGAACATGAAAGCACTATACTCTTGCTTAAATGATCAAGGTTCTGTTAGAAGTCTGTGGTAAAATCTCATGACACTTTTTCAGGTGAAAGTCAGTGTTCACCCCTGTCACTTCCACAACCAAAATCACCCCCCGAGGACTGAGGAAGTGCCTCTCTAGAAGCGACAATTTTCTAACTTATTACACGAGAGAGCCTTCCTGGCACCTCATAGACCGTGGATAATCACCAGCCCAGAACACGTCAATCATCCATTTAAGATGCAAAACTCTACTACAGTGTGAAGACTATGGAGACATAAGCTCCCTGTGGGCAGGTCAACTGTGGATACACAGGATCCTTATCTAGTGACCTAGCATCTAACTTGATTTATCCTAACACTCAGAACCAGGCCCAAGGGCCTTCTGGGACAGAAGAAGACACCCTTGAGGTAGAAGCAATCCTACAACACCATTTAGGATTCTGTCAGTCCTTGGGTTCAGTTGAGTGGTTCTTATGCTCCATGTGACAGCAGCTGAGACTGAGTCATCTGGGGTTCAGGGCTGGAATATCCAAAATGGCTCACTCATACAGGTGGCCGGGTGCCAGCTATTGGTTTTGAGTTCATCAGGGGCGTCTAGCGGAGCATTTTGATTCTCTACCATGTGACCTTTCCATGCGACTTGGGCTTCTCGGAATATTTCCTAGAGAGAAGTTCTCAAGAGGAACCATTCCAAGAGGAAGAAAGCAGGAGCCTCTTAAGGCCTGGCCTTAGCAGTCCCCGAATAATATTTGTATCACATTCTATGGGTCCAAGCAGTCACAGGGCAGTGATGACTCAAGCGGAGATCTATGTTCTGCCTCCAGAATAAAGCAAGCACATGCAGAGAAAGGAGGGATGTTGGGGACCATCTCAGAGATTACCATCACACTGAACAACTGCTGCCTGGCATCCTGCTAGTCCCAGTTCCCTCGGATTCTCTTATGAGTTCACCATGGAATCAGGGTCAGTTCAAACTCCCCAAATCGCCTGATCCTTGACCTCATTTTTCTGGCGGTCCTGGGATTCTGTACCCACAAGCCCTAAAGAAGAGTCATGGTCTACTTACTCACATTAAAATACATATATTTCTTTAAAATTCTTTCCTGAAAACTGATCTTTCAATTGATCACCCTTACGCATTTTAATTGTTCCAGTGCCAGTCTTATCTGTTCCCCGCAGGCCTTCTCATCTGCCAGTCCTTATAAATTAGCATGTCAAAAACTCACATTTAGAAATTCTGCCTTCAATTAAAAAGCTATACTTCAATGCAGACATCATTAGTAAATGGTGCAATTTCATTACATGGCTAAAACTACCTTTTGCCAGTAAAAAGAAAACACTCACTAGTAATACTTCAGAGCTGGCCTTAACCTCTAATAAAATACAAAAGATAAGGCAGAATAGGAGAAAAAGATGTTTCTAATCTGTATTAAATCTATCCCCACTGTGAGTAAACCACTTCTTTATAGTTATAAGAGTTTTCCTATAAATGCATGGCACTGCCTTTGAGAAACTATTGCTTCATAAATAGCTCTAAATTTCTCCATTTTTTATTACTGAGGGACAAAATTCTCAGCAAATAGATTCAGATGATAGCCATTCTCAGTATGAATCTGAGGACATGGCTCAGTGCGAGGTCAGAACTGAATTAGTGTGGCCGGGACCCTGCAGGCCAGGTCTGGTCTGGCTCCAACGAAGAATGAACCCCTCAGATGGAGCATCCGTCTCTGCCAGTGAGGAAAGCTACCCCCCACTATGGTCGTGCTGGCCACCAAGAGCGCTCGGATACTCCGGGAAAAATCTGATGTCATCTCCTACTTTAAGCAACATCTGCTTGTTACCACCAGACACAACAAGCTGTAAAAGATGATTTCAAAATTCTGGGGCTGAGATGGGGATAGAAACTATAAAAGGGATTTCTTATATAGAGACCTAATGTAAAAGAGTTACAGAAAAAAAAAAGTATATATATGTATGCTTGAAGTTAGACGACCTCAGTAAAAGTATGATTTCCATATCCTTATAATAATTTGCAACCACATAACTGGGCATTATGTATGTTGCCATGTGCTCTGTATTGCTTAGTCCTCGTGTATCCCACCCTCTTTTTAAAAGTCTATTTTGTGCACTACTTTTATTTTTCTTAAAGCATTTTCACATTTTACCCATGCGGTCCTGAGAGGACACCAGGACAGGAATTACTACACCCAATTTACAAAGGAGAAAGCTGAAACTACAAATCTTAGTATCAGGCCTCTAAAATGAGTTGATGTTGAAACTTCCTTTAAAGGACCAAACCTAACTTATTAATTTGCACACATACTGAGTTTGCTTTTTCACTATGTAATATTATACCCTCAAAACAGAATGCAAAAGACATCTTGGAACAAATTAAAACAGAATTGCCTCATGTGGACACTGGGAATTAGACTTTCTACCACATGAAGTGCAAATTATTCTATCAAAAATATAGTATCTTTTATCATAAGTATAATAATCATTGAAAAGTACAAAGTGTCATCATCACCATTACGACAATATGGTGATTAGCAGAGGGCATGGGGGTGGGGCGAGGTAAAGAAAGGGTAAAGGGGGGATAAATGGTGGTGGAAGGAGACTCGACTTGGCATGGTAAACATACAATATAATATACAAATCATGTATTATAGAATTACACAGCTGAAATTGATATAATTTTATTAACCAATGTCACCCCAATAAAGTTAATAAAAATAAAATCTCACAAAATTTTAGAATTCGCTGCCCACTGCTCAGTGATACCAACAATTACCTTTAGTGATGAGATTAAGTGAAGTAACGATCATTTATTGTATTAACCATGCTGATGTTACAATCTGGATAATGTATTTTGAGAGGAGGATAATGGACTTTTAATTTCTAAATTAATCTCCACAAAGACTCAGAGCCCCCTGTGGTGTGCAACTTGGATTTCTACTAATGTTCTAAAGGACAGCTGCCATCCCGCCGAATGAAGGCAGGCATAACGGAGGACAGGGGTCTGAGATTATCAACACGATGCCAAATTGATTGATCTTGCTGGAACTAAGGCAACCTGAATAGACCAGCAGGATCCAAAACTGCTTTAACATGTGTTCTCACTGCCTGGCCGACATGGCTCAGTGGTTGAGCATCAACGTATAAGCCAGGATCACAGCGGGCTCGATCCCCTGTGTGGAGCGTGCAGGCAGCAGCTGATCAATGATTCTCATCATTGATGTTTCTGTCTCTCTCTCCCTCTCCCTTCCTCTCTGAAATCAATACAAATATATTTTTAAAATAAAACGTGTTCTCACCAAAACGAACCGCTTTGGCCAGCAAGGTGGACATGAATTCACCAAGTTGGTGTTGCTGCAGCCACACAGCGTGAAAACAGAGGCAACACCTTTCACACCTCTCGTGTTCTCCTCCACTATTTTCATGGACTTCACTGTTTCGTATTTTCAAGTCCAACTTCTCTGTCCTCTATGTAGGCATTTTACATTTTATTTGTCACTCCCTTTTCTCTAAAAGCAGGGAAGCAACTTTGCAAAAGAGTAGTAAAATAATGAAAATAAACTGGAAGCAATGTTTTGGATAAAATTCTAGTAACATTTAAAGGAAATTGCTCTAATATAAATTCATACCTGTGCTAGCACCATCTCATAGATCAGGGAGTAGACAGTTGGTGAAGTTGATGGGATATTGATTCCAGCAGGAAAATAAGGGGCTACAAAACAAAAGATGATTAACATGAAATCGTTGAGTGAAGCAAAGTCTTAATATACTGGGAATTAAACTAAACAGAGACCGGGTAAAAGGACTCAGGTCTCAGATCACTTATGCCGGAACTCCTTTTCATTATATATTATAAGTTTTCCTGTGTGTTTTTACTCTCCTGGATATTATCAATCCATATTCACCCAGTGACAAACATCTGAAATTAACATGTGGGGAGAAGCAACCAAATCTGGGACACATCATTAATTAGAGAGATAGCAACGCAGAAAGTAATGGCAACAGGGCCTTAACAACCTAGAAGTACTATCAGAAAATAAAGCTTTTCTTTATTTCTTTCATTTCACAAAATCCCACTAATGTTTTGCTACGATACCAGGTGCAACATTTTTTATAAATGTTGCTGCAATGTAGTTTTACAGGCTGATTTGTTGCTTAAAATATGCAGTACTCAACAAACAGATATATTTCTAAAATATTCTTTATGTAAAGTTCCAGAGCCAAGTATTTTTGGGTCAAAGTCGCCCTACAAAGGAAACACACTTCCCATTTCCTCCACCCCTCCAGACACATTCCACCACCACCATCGCCATCATCATCATCACCATCTCCACCACCACCATTTCTGCCACTACCACCATGAGCACCACCACCATCTCCACCATCACCACCACCACCATGATCACCACAACTACCATCATCATCACCACCATCTCTACCACCATCATCATCACTACCATCACCATCATCATCTCTACCACCACCAACACCAACATCACCACCACCACCACCATCACCACCACCATCTCCACCACCAACAACAACAACTCAATTCCTGCTAAAATATTACCAAAGAAGTTTCCTTTGCCCAGAAAACCAGGCACTGCTGAAGTATTACTGATTGCACTCCATTAAGAAAAAAAAAAAAAAAAGGCAGCCTTTCTGAATCAGAGTCAACCCTATTAAGAGATTAACTACAGTTTTCTGTGGCTGGTCAACCAAAGCGGATCAGTGGATGAAGGGACAACCTTAGCTATCCATGTGCCAGCTTTCAAAAGCAGAAACACTGATCTCAATTGAATAAGTTTACATTCCATCTGATGGAAAGCCTTTTTTTTTTTTTTTTTTTTTTTTCAGAAGAACTCAAAGGACCTGCAGTACATTCAGATAAAAAGTAAAAACATGAAAATATTTTAAAGGGTGTGTGCCCATCAGTCTGGCTCAGTGATTGAGCTTCAACCCATGAACCAAGAGGTCACGGTTCAATTTCCTGTCAGAGCACAGACTCGATCCCGAGTAAGAAGTGTTCAGGAGGCATCCAATAGATGATTCTCTCTCATCATTGATGTTTCTACCCATCTCTCCCTCTCCCTTCCTCTCTCTGAAATCAATTTTTTTAAAAAACATATTAAAACAAGGTTTGCATTGAGGACTCGGCCTCAGTGGGGCTTCAGCTGAATGATCAATAAAGGTAAAATTACCCTTGTAAAGTTTCTAACCATTTTCATACTTCCCAAATATCAATGGCTGAAAACATTGTTTGAGATTAGCAAAAGTTGATAGAAAATACTAATTATACAAGGCAGACAGAGGCAAGTATAATTTGCCCAAAGATTACTCTTTGATCCATTTCATTTGAGTTTTTCCTTGGCTGCTGAGAAATTGGTGTGAAACAGCAAACCCAAGGTTCATGGTTTGTACACAGCCTGATTTAATTTGGGGCTGCCAAATACAGCAAATAAAAATACAAGATGCCTAGATACCTTTGAATTCCAAAACACAAGAAATAATATTTTAGTATAAATATATCCCATGCAATATTTGGTACATACTGATCATTTTAAAATTATGTGTCATTTACCTGAAATTAAAATTTAACTAGGGGCCCTGTATTTTATCAGGCAACCTTACTCTAATTAAACTCTCATTCGGTTTACATTGTATTTCAGAACTTACTCCCTCATTAGAGGAAATAGATAGTTTTGGGGGATAGAAAAACAGGGAAAATCCCAATTTGTGAATGAGAAAAAATGCACCTTTGCAAAATGAAAGCCCTTTCTAACTTTATAACGTGTAATACCAGTAGTTCTCAGTGGGTTCTGGCAGGAAAGAAGAAAGAATTACAATCATTGAGGAATATTTTCCCTCGGATTGAAACCACTACGCTGTACACCTATTATGTGGCACTTCCCCGTTTTCATTTTAATCTTAGAGGCCGTGGCTATAAGCAAAGCTCTGGACTGAGACTGACCTAAGTTTGAACCCCGGCTCTGCCACCGGCTCGCTGTTTGATCCTGAATCAGACACTTAACCTCCCTGAGCCTGCCCTGTCGCATGTATAAAATGAAAGTGACGACACCCACCTCACATGGCAAAGGTGAGCACTAGAAGAGGTATGCCCCCTTTCTCAAACACTTGGACATCACCGGACACGCAGCAAGCCCTTGCTAATTGAATGTTATTATTCTTATCATGTGCAAATTGTTTTCCCCCGTACACACTGACCAAAGATCAGGCTCCCTGGCAATAACAGTCGGCAAAGGCCTCCTGCCCTGGGTTATCTGTGGACAGAGTTTGCCGGGTGCACGTGAGGAGAGCCAGCTGCCACCTGTGGTCTGCGGGGCTTCTGGCCCTGCGCGAGCCCCGAGCCCTGGGAACATCAGGTTCTGCTCAGGGCCACGTCTCCTTCCTTAGCCTGGCTCCTTTCAGAGGCTCTCCGGTCAAATTCCTTCCCCACTCCATGGACAGAAGCAATATGTCCATCTGGTCTCCAAGTACAGAGTTCTTTTTATTCTTTTATTTTTGTTCATCTTCACCCAAAGATATTTTTTCCATTGATTTTTAGAGAGAGTGGAACAGAGGGAAGGAGGCGGGGAGGGTGGGAAGAAAAAGAGAAACATTGGTGTGAGAGAGACACATCGACGGGTTGCCTCCCATACTCAGCGTGGGAGTCAAACATGCAATCCAGGTTGACCAGGAATCGACCTGAGACCCTTTGATGGGCAGGTTGGCACTCTAACCACTGAGCTCACTGGCCAGGGCTGGAGTTCTTTTTATCACATCATTCTAGAATTTGCTCTGGGTAGTCAGAAACATGTATTTCAGTGCAACATCCCTGCAGATTCTATAATGGTTCCTGCAGTCTGGTTCTGATCTCAGAAGCCAGCATCCTTCACACCCATCTACCTGGTTCTTTTCCTCCACGTAAATATATCAGCAGTTGGCCAGCCACCCTCTCTGCCACGGCTAAGGAGCGGTGTGGTTTAGGGAGGGCCAGCGCCTTGCTCCCAGGCGTCTTCTACGCGGGCAAGCCTCTCTAATCATATGCCCTGAGAGTTTACATTGCATGTTCTGGCTTATTGCCTTATTAGAGGAAATAGGACAGCTGCTTCCCGGAAAGAAATGATGGGAAAGCCCAATTTGTGAAATGTATTTCTTTTCAAAGTCTGGGGCTTGCGGGCAACGAGGAGTGAGCAGAAACAACTTTTAACACAAACTCAAACGCACCCTAACTGTGGAGGTTCTCTGAAGGATTTCTCCCTTCCTCCCGTGGTGGGGGGGCTGGGGGGAGTGAGGACTGCTTATGGACGTCTTTGCTGCCTGCAGAGAGGGCCTATTAGCACTGATACGGGCTGTGGGTGCTTGGCTCCCGGTACTGGACACCACCTTAACCCTTTACTAAACATAGAGAATGCTACCACTGAAGAACAGTTAAGTGAGGACACAGCCCCTGGATTTTCTTGCATAAAGAGAACAATGATTTCCTAGGACTCAGATTCTGTGTTTTCCAAAGCCCTCCCATCTGCCAAACTAATTAGCAGAGAACACGCCGCCTGGACCGGATGCACAGCCTTTGCACAGCCTGAGACGTGCTTGCAGGCAGCGTGCATTCCCTGGAGCTGAGGCCCCAGAGATTAATAACTGGACGTGGACAAGGCCCGTGCACACCTCAGCCGCACGTGCCCTGTCCGCCTACAGATCCCCCTTGAAAATGCCCCTCCTGGTCCTGCCACGGCTCCCTACCCAACATGGAAACGGGGAGAACGAGTGGCGATAGCGATTCTTACCCTCTTACTTCCATCCTCTTGCCTTTCCTCATGTCTAGGAGACTAACACCTCACTCCTTCAAATATACACAGGAGGACGTGAATAATAATAAATATGTCTTTTAATTATCAATTTTAATTTTTTATTATCTTCAAAAATCAAGATGAAAGCTTTTCTATACAAAAATGATTTCAGAACGCTGAGCAGTCAGCCAACAAACGCCGAGTTCCGAGAACTGGCCAGGCCGGCGCTAGGCAGGGGGTGTGCGCTGCAAGCAAGATGGCTGTGGAGCACGGAGCCTAAACGTCTGACTTTCCAAACTGCCCAGGTGTGTGAGCAAATGAAACCACATGCACTTTCTTTGATTTTCATATCATGGAGATTCAAAAATACTTACCATTTAAGAATATTTTTATTACCTCCTAGGCTGCAAGAGAGAGACGGAAAGTTACATACAAGGGATCTCCCATTAGATTGTCAAATGATTTCTCAACAGAAACACATCAGGCCAGAAAAGAATGGACGGAAATTTACAAAGTGATGCAAAGCAAAGGACTGAATCCAAGAATACTCTATCCAGCAAGGTTATCATTCAAACTTGAAGGGGAAATAAGAAGCTTCACAGACAAAAAAAGGCTAAGGGAGTTTATCACCACCAAGCCAGCAATGCAAGGAATGCTAAAGGGACTGGTATAAAAATAAGAAATAAAAAGCTCAGAAAGAAAACAGCCACACAAAAACAGAAATGCCTACAAACAACTACCTTTCAATAATAACTTTAAACGTAAACGGACTAAATGCTCCAAACAAAAGACATCGAGTGGCTGAATGGATAAAAAAACATGACCCATACATCTGCTGTCTACAAGAAACCCACCTCATTAGAAGGGACTCACACAGACTGAAAGTGAAAGGATGGAAAAATATCTTTCAGGCAAATGGAAAGG